ATTTTAAACAATTTATCAAAATCTTTTAAAATCCGAATTAAATACACCCTCCTTAGTTATGCAGTGATATTAACCACACTCAGGTTCTCATGACATTGCCCGAAATGTCATGGAATGATCCGGGGGTAGAGGTGTTCAATCAAATCGATCCAATCCGATCTGATTCGAAATTTCGGATATCCAAAATTTTCAGATCATGTAAAACTCATTCCATATCCGATCCGAAAATATTAGGATATCTGAATTTCAGATATCTGATTTTTCGGATTGGATCATTGGATTATCCGAAAAGTTGAGTTTTAGACAAAATTTACAAAAAAAAGGTAAAATAGTAAAATCAACCCAAAATATCAAATTCAATATAGATTTGCTAAAAAAATTCCATTACTAGGTAATGGCCTAATAAAAATGATACCAAATTTAATTTGGGAGTAATTTTGGTAATTTTGACTAAGCAAACAACAAAAAAAACTATTAAAACAAAAAGATTCTAAAATGCTAATGCAAAAAGTAAAAAATGGTTGAGTTCCAAAATCAACATAAAATTACATTTAAACATATAGTTAGGGGTGTTCAAAAACAAGTCTTGACCAGATTTTGGACCTGAACCGGACCAGAATGGACCGGTTCGGAAGATTCAGGTCCGGTCCTCGGGTTTTACAAATTAGGGATTCCGGGTTTCCAATCCGGTCCGGGTTTGACCCAAAATATTCTGGTCCAGACCGTAATATATTATATAAACGGTATCCATTATTACTTTCAAGTCCAAAAGCATTAAATCCAATCCATATAGTTTTAATTTCCTGAATTTCATTTTTCCAATATTTAGTTTTTAAATATTTTATTTTAGATTACTATTTTTACGGTAGTTTATAAATTTGAATAAGTTATAAAATAAGTTTTGATGAATTTGTTGCTACTACTTATAAGTACTATTTTTATTAAATACTTTGAAGAAAAACAACTTATTATTTCAATTTTTTCTAAATTTGTTTAATAATTTAATTCATTTCTAAGATTGAAAAAAAATATAAAAAAATTCCGATCTAAAGTAGGGTAAAATCGGACCGGTCCGATAAAAACAGGTCCGGACCAGTCCGGACAGGAAATAAACATGTCCGGTCTTCGATCTTAAAGAAATTGCAATTCCGGTTCGGGTCCAGTTTTAGACCGGTGCACACCCCTACATATAGTCATAAACATATCCATAAAATTTCAAAAACATATAGCAAAAAAAAATCAGATATCCGATTATTCGAAAAGTTCTAGAAATTGAATCCATATCTGATCCGATTTTTTTCGGGTAACCGATCTGAAATATCCGATAGCTAAAATATCAGATCGAATAATATCCGTTTTTCGGATCGGATCGGCCCAGATCATGGGCGGATTTTTTGGATCAGATATTTTTGAACACCCTTATCTGGGGGCGTTCTGGTGACCCGTTCGTAAAATTGACCGTTTCATACAACCTAAAGGAATTGTCAAATTTACGAACGGGACAACAGAGCGCCCCCGGGTCATCCCATGACATTGTCGGGCGATGTCATGGAACCTTGCCCTATTAGCAGATGTTAACGGGAGACATGACAAATATGGCATAATAAGTAAGTATACAAATGCCAAAGCATAAAGTACTAATAAATTGGAAGGAAAAGGTACATTTTATTTAGGGGTACCAAACCTCCTCGGACCCCCCACGCCGCAGCCGGCGTCCAGGATTCGGTCGCCGGCCTTCAACTCCGAGCCGATCGCGATGGGATTTCCCCTGGATGGAGGGGTAGAAGTGGAATGATTGGCCCCAACCCCACTCGTAAATGTCCGTGACGAGGTTGTAGAAGGTGTCGACGAAATGGGGGACCTTCTCGGTGGTCTCGATCTCCTTGGGCGTCGGAAAAAGGATCAGTACATTATCCATGTTGATGGAGCCGGCGGAGATAGGAGGAACGGAGGAGAGATGAGGAAGATGGAAAAGGAGAAAGAAAAAGAAAGAAAAAAAGAAAGAAGGAGAAAGGAGAAGAAGGGACGCACGAACGGCAAGATGTTACAGCGGAAGAAAAGAAAGCTGAGAAAGGATAAAAAAAGTAGAGTAAATTCTATAATTGGTCCTTTTATAATAGGGGTTTCCTTAATTAGTCCCCTATTATCAAATATTATTCAAGTGATCCTTTTTATGAGTATTTTTCCATAAATAATCCTTTTTTGATCTTCTATTATGTTAGTGTTAATTTGAAAGCTAAAAGTATAATTTCACAATGATAATATATTTTTTTGTCATATACAATTTCAAAGGCTGTTCTGTTTGCGTCGTTTGTGAATTACAGTCGCTTTCTACTACAACCATAGTCGACAAATGTGGTCTTTCGTCCCACAACCATAGTCATTATTTTTGTGTTATCCGCTTAACCAATATCAGAACACGTCACTAAACATAATGTTGATGTCAAATTATACTTTTAGCCTTTAAATTAACACCAACACGACAGAAATGCAAAAAAGGACCATTTGTGGAAAAGTACCCTTAAAAAAAGGACTACAGGGTTAATATTTGATAATAAAGGACTAAATATAGAAATCCCCATATTATTGACCCATTATGGAATTTACTCAAAAAAGTAATAATGGATAATAAACAATCATACAAAATTCCATTGAAAAATACATCAAAATCTATCAAACTCTGCATAGACTTAAAATAATTCGTTGATTTTATTTAATCTATAGATTTTAAACAATTTATCAAAATCTTTTAAAATCCGAATTAAATACACCCTCCTTAGTTATGCAGTGATATTAACCACACTCAGGTTCTCATGACATTGCCCGAAATGTCATGGAATGATCCGGGGGTAGAGGTGTTCAATCAAATCGATCCAATCCGATCTGATTCGAAATTTCGGATATCCAAAATTTTCAGATCATGTAAAACTCATTCCATATCCGATCCGAAAATATTCGGATATCTGAATTTCAGATATTTGATTTTTCGGATTGGATCATTGGATTATCCGAAAAGTTGAGTTTTAGACAAAATTTACAAAAAAAAGGTAAAATAGTAAAATCAACCCAAAATATCAAATTCAATATAGATTTGCTAAAAAAAT